ACCACCATTACTTGTCTATCAGCGTAGGACACGTCATCCACAGGTGGTTCCATCTACAACTCCCCCAGCTTCATTTTCTGCTCCAACCGACTCTCTGGCAATGCCTCCTGCACTTGAACATCCTTTGCCTGAGTTACCCATTGCCATTCATAAAGGTATTCGAACTACCCGCAATCCTCATCCTTTATATGCTTGTACTCTTTCCTGTCATCGATTGTCTCCTTCCTACTTTTCTTTTGTTTCCTCTTTGGATTCTGTGTCTATTCCCAAGTCTACAGGTGAAGCTATGGTTGATTAGTTTTCACAAAGAGTAAGTGATAAAAGGTTTTCACAAAAAAGGTTTTCAAGGTTCAAGATTGGTATGACAAGGCCTAAGTGTACAAAGTGAACTATCAAAGGGATGTGGACTACTAGGAATCACTTAATAACCAAGCCTTATCAAGTAAAAATCACTAAACCTTTTCACACTTTTCTCACAAAATAATTTTCACAAGACTAAGGTGTGTGTGTGCACGGACCCTTAGTAGGCAATTGTAAGCCTTCTAAATGAAAATTGAGGAAAAATAAAGACCTAAGCAATTATACTTATGAAGCTGGGGGAGTTGTAGATGGAACCACCTGTGGATGACGTGTCGTACGCTGATAGACAAGTAATGGTGGTGGATCAGTTACTACAGCCAGAGCCGGAGTTGGAATAGTAGGTTGATCATCCAAAGAAGTATGACTAGTAATATCCTCAGAAAAGAAAGGAGAGGATGACTTAAAGAAGGAAACATCAATATAGCGTTGAAGTTGTGGACAAAAACAACGATACCCTTTTTGGAGTCTAGAATAACCAAGAAATATACACTTGAGAGACTTAGCAGAAAATTTATCTTTACCTGGAGTGAAATCTTGGACAAAACATGTACAACCAAAGACATGAAGTGGAACAGGATAGAGATCTTTTTGTAGATACAAGATGGTGTATGGGATTTGATTGCTGAGAACAGAGGAGGGCATGCGATTAATCAAGTAATAGGCAGTAAGAATCGCATCACCCCATAATCGAAGTGGAACTTTGTGATGAAGGAGAATAGTACGAGCTGTCTCAACCAAATGACGATTTTTGCGTTCAGCTACACCATTTTGCTGTGGTGTGTGGGCACAAGAGGTCTGATGAAAAATACCTTGGGAGGAAAGAAAAGACTGGAATTTTGAAGATAAATACTCACTTCATTTATGTACTCATTTCCATTTGGCTTTGGCTCCTCTGAAGTCCAGTTGATAATTTCTATAAGATTCATATATTCATCTAATTTTTTGTTTACCAAACTGAGCAAAGTAATATAAGCTGCATCCCTCGAAGTCTTCAGTAACACCTTTGCAGTTAAAGTAGCTTGGGGCTTCTCAACTGTTCGAACTGGGACACAGCTCAGTTGAGCTGCATGTCTAAGGAAATAATCACAAGCTCTTTCAAGAACAGCTATGTTTGCAGCAAGCTGCATGGCTTGAGACACACTAATATTTCCACTATTTATTGTATCAAGTAAAGTTTCATTTAATACTTCAATCAGGTACTTGTCCAAATACTTTCTCACAACATCAAAGAAACCAGTACGTACACCGTAAGACAAGTAATCAACAGAGCTTTTAATGAAGGATCTCACAATGCGACAAGCATCAGGCACCATGGAGGAGAATGGTGCAACATATGGAAAAGCAGGCATAATATCAGATGTTTGAATATTAAATGACAGAACATGATTCTCATAGTCAGTATCCTTTTTTATCACCATCTGCTCATATGAGTCGTTGCCAAGAACATCTTGAGTTTGGCTCCGACATTCTTCTAAAAGAAGTCTATGGTATTTGTCACAGCTATTATCAAGCACATCAAGAAGTTGACCAATGTCATATCCATATTGTCTAAGAGTAGACCCAAGAAGAGTAACATAATCCTTAACTAGGAGAAGATGGGTGGCAGAGTTCATATGGGAGAATTGCACGTCCAACATTGATGTTATTTTTGCCAAAGCAGTTTCCCACATAGTTTCGACCTTGTCAGGTACTAGTAGCCCACCACCAGTCCTCAGGACCTTATCCTCCACTATGAAGTACCCAACAATTTGAGCCAAAAATGTCTGATATGATTCAACGAAAGGTTGCGCCGAAGATATTTCCAAATCTGAATTCAATTGTAACAATCTATTCTTATAGTAATATTCATGAAACTGCTCTCGGATCCCCAGGCAACCATGAATATGACAAGCACGGTAAAGAGGCGTGAGATCGAACTTCATAGCAGAATCTTCATCTTCTTCAACCACCAAACAATAAGCTTGATCATCAACTCCAGAAATATTTAATTCCTCGGCCTTTCGCTTCCTTTCCAGCATTTCCTCATCCCTCTGACGAACTGATGCAGCCCGGCCAATTGCCGTTTGCCCAATTATTTTACAAGAACTTCGAATTTGGACCATCCATTCATTAACTTGACTACATACTTTCTTCTCAATGTGAGTTTTTATGGAAGGGATTTTTTTCTCTATCACCCTTTTGAGAGCCTTGGCAGGAATATTCTGCATGTAATTCTTCTCCAGCAAATCAATAGTTTTCAGAGCAGGATAAAACTGGCTTTCAGAAATGTGATCGTTGCACTTGACACAAAGCTCCAACACCTTCATACAGTTCTTTGACATTTTTACAGCTTCTGTCACATTCTTCTTGACTGTATAAGATTCTAGAAGCTCCTCAAGCTCCACCAAACAATAAGCTTGATCATCAACTCCAGAAATATTTAATTCCTCGGCCTTTCGCTTCCTTTCCAGCATTTCCTCATCCCTCTGACGAACTGATGCAGCCCGGCCAATTGCCGTTTGCCCAATTATTTTACAAGAACTTCGAATTTGGACCATCCATTCATTAACTTGACTACATACTTTCTTCTCAATGTGAGTTTTTATGGAAGGGATTTTTTTCTCTATCACCCTTTTGAGAGCCCTGGCAGGAATATTCTGCATGTAATTCTTCTCCAGCAAATCAATAGTTTTCAGAGCAGGATAAAACTGGCTTTCAGAAATGTGATCGTTGCACTTGACACAAAGCTCCAACACCTTCATACAGTTCTTTGACATTTTTACAGCTTCTGTCACATTCTTCTTGACTGTATAAGATTCTAGAAGCTCCTCAAGCTTGACAAGAATGATGCTGCCAACCTGCTGCAGCTTAAAATTATCACTTTGGAGTTCACTCTTGAGCTCTTCAGCATCACCAAAGAGGTGGAATAATTGCAACGACGATTCTGTTTTCCACGACCGTCGTTACGTGCACTACCACGATTAGATGAGTGAGAAACAAGAGCAGAGGAGTTTGCAGCAGTTGCAGAAGGAGTAGCCACAATATGAGAGATGGAGAGACGCAACAATTGCATTGACGTTTTTTCATCCCCTTGGTGGAAGGAGTCCATCAAGTGCATTATATAGGTCAATTCTAATCTCATTGGCCTTAAGGCCCCCAAGCTGCCCCCATTATAGGGACCCAGTATCTCTATTTCCGTCAGCTGGCAGACTCTAAGGTCTGTCGCAGTATTTCGGGCTAGAGTAATCGGTTTTCACCTTGAGTGTGATTTCTGACAAGGCTCGCAGGGTGTAGAGGATTTTTGTGTGGTATGGTTTGTGTACAATTGTTAATTCAAGCATGTGCGAAATTTAAACAAGCATACAGATAATAAAGTCATACAAGTAAAAGAAAAAAGTGAAGGGGATAAGATATTTAAATTATTATTCTTATTTTACTAACTTCATCATTTTATTTGGGCCTAACCCTCTTTAAACTTCTCTAGTGGAGTCGCTATCTGCAGCAACCCGAAAATTTCTGATCTTACGACTAATGGTTTAGACATCCAATTGAAAATCTCATTGAATAGGGAATGCTCGAAATCCAAACTAATCACATATTAATGGTTTTGAAAAAATGAGCTCATGGAATCACCACCAATGTTTTACTCAAAATATTGGAAGAAGAAAAGGTTTTTAAAGTCCAATAATGGCCATGGTAACCAAAATTGGGTTCGAGGGTTGGTTACGTGTAGGGAAGGTATTAAGCACCCCTACAACGCCCTTAATCGGTACCCTTATGATGAAGTTAGCATAGTAAGAATTAATAAGTTAAATATTTAATCCCCTTTATTAGTAGTTATTTACATACTTGAAATTTAAATTACGCGGTTTATATTAAAATGTCTACATGATTATTTTTATTATAACAATATCTATTAGAGATGAGAAACAAAAGGAAGTGAAGAAGATTAATTAAAATACCTCTTAACAAGCTTTATTAGATCTTCAAATATGGAGACTTTAGGTGCTTTCTGGCAACCTTTGACACTAACAAATTCCTCATAGATCTTAGGAAATACAAAAGGAGAGAGAGAAAAAGAAATTTCGAGCTTTAAGGAGTTTTGGATGAATTTTGCGGCCCTGAGAATAATGCTTGAGTCTGCTATTTATAGACATCAGAAGTGGCCAGAACGGCCCATTCTGGATCCATTCGTCATGTGTTAATTTTGCATCTGGAATGACCTGTTCTTAAACTAGAACGACTTGTTCTAGAGTTGAATTTTAACTTATAACTACCACGTTGGAACGACCTGTTCCAAACTAGAGTTTTAGGCTTTTTAGTGGTTTGGAACGACCCGTTCTAGTTTGAGAACAACTCGTTCCAGTTTGAGAACATCTCGTTCCAGTTTAGGAACAGGCCATTCCATTTTGGGAACAGCCCGTTCCGAGTTTGGAACAGCCCGTTCTGCGCTACTAAAACCAGCTTGTTTGGGTTTCAAGCTTCCTTGTTGTCATATGGTGTTGCCTCCATACTTTGGGAGTTCCTCCTCTTCATAGTAGACGTCCATTTCATTTCTTTTATGGGTCTGGATGAAATTGGGTGTCTACACCCTTATCCTAAGGAAGTCTGGCCAGACTTTTGGACTGCCATCATTCTTTCGACAAAAGACAAGGTCTACATCTTCTTGGATTTCTTCGAAACTAGAAAGATGCCATGCTCAAAATGGATTGGAGTCATTCAAAGTTTCAAAAGGAGGTATATAAAAGAATTGGAAAAAAAAAAATTTGTTGATGAATGAGAAATCATGAACTCAAGGAGTTCAAAAATTAATGATAAGCACTACTTACCCCTCTGACTCGTTATCAATTCACTCCTAACCGCATCTTTCTTCTCCGACTCATCAACATTGTCAATAAAGATAAGGATTTCGGCAATCATTGAAACAATGGTGAATCCAAGACCCTATTTCATTGACAATTAATTCCGATAGGATTAGTAGGAGTGAAGAAGAATCTGAGAAGAATTGAAGATTGAAGACTACAAGTTGACAAATGAGCAACATGTCTATAGAGATATCAATCAAGCACGAGTCTCTCTAGGCTTCCGCAACATTGTCAAAGTGTGCCAAAAATCTTGTACAAGGAATGTTCTCTAAATAAACAAATCAATGAGTATGATATTTGTGGAATTTCTCAACTGTCTTTGCATTATATGTTGCACTTCATATAGATAACTTGCATTCCTTGTAAATAACAAATAAGAATAAAAATGGACACCTAAATCTGTGTATGTTAATAAAATAATGAGATCACTGGTAATCAAGTGCAAAGCCGACACGTCAAATCTAGGGACACTTAACTTAAACCTACTAATTGGGGGGCATAGCATGCCCAAATTGACGATTCAAACACCGAGACTTCTGCATTTGGAAGCGATATGGTAGAGCCATGGACGTATAAAGTTCGTGAACAACCAACTTGTTAATATTGACGGGATATGAGGAATGATCAAGAATGAACGAATCCTTGTTTCTAGGGAATTACAAGACAAAACTCAATTGAAGAATAAAGGCATTGCATGATGAGGACTCGCTAGGACGACAACCCCGCATGGGACATTCTAGGAAAAATTAGGGCAAAGAAAAAAAATTAAAATCCCGATAGGATACGTCCTATGCAAAAGTTAGGGATATATAAAAATAAAAATAAATAAATAAAATGCCTGTCTGAGTTGAAAATCGAAAGGCAACTCGAGTATTTCCTTTAGAAAGCAAGAATTCATAAAAGTTTCACTCCAAATTCAAAACACCAGCATTCAAGCAAGTGGGAAGGTGTTCCTAAAGTAGTCAGACCAATCATCAACCACGCCTCTCTAGGGGAAACCTCAGTCAATCTCTTTGCGAATGAATCATGAACTCGGGGCATGTCCAGGCCTTCGAGCTTTGCTAAAGGGGCACCTATAAATTGAAAGTACTATTTTAAATGCCATAACATTCTCTCATTTCTCTTCTCCCTTTAAATATTCACTCTAGGCCTCATCCATTAACCTTTAATAAACAAAGTGTATTTGCGACAAAGATGTTACTTGATAACCATTAACCTTTAAATATTCACTCTGAGAAATAATTGATTATTCCAGGAAGTACTCTCTGGAATAATCGATTATCCTGCAAAATAATCGACTATTTTGTTCTTGAGTGATTTCTAGAACTCATAAAGAACAAAGTAATCAATTATCCTTAAAAATAATCGATTATCTGGGTTTGGAAAACATTATAAATAGTTTTCACACTTTGAATCAAGTACAGACAGATGAACAGAAAATAGAAGAGAGTAAAACTGATTTTGTGAAGTCTTTTTGACTTTCTTGGAGTGCTTTCTTTGTGAAACCAAGAAGAAAAACTTTTGTGAAATGCTTTGAGAGAAATCATCATCATCACTACATTCTTGGAAGAGAAGGATTAAGATTTGTCAAGAATTCACAGTCTGACTTGTTCAGCCTTCAGGTGAATTCATTCCTTTAATTCTTTGTGTAATGTGTAAAGAAATCTTGAGTAGGTGTCTCAAGTGGTAAGGAATTCTTGTAGTGGGTTTCTACAAGAAGTGTTTTCTTGGGTGCAAGAAAGTGTCTATCTTGAGTGTTAAAGTGTGTGCATGTGTGGTATACTTGTAAAACTTCTTCATTAAGATAGTGGAACAAATCTTGATCACATTATGATTGAGGACTGGATGTAGGTCGCATGTGGAGTGGCTGAACCAAGATAAAATACTTTACACTCTTGTCTCATCCTTATCTCTTGTATTGATTCATCTTTAATTGAATTTTACAATGACTGATTCTGAGTAATTTTCTTGCTTAGTTAAAACTCATTAAAAATGAATATTGTCATTGCATACATGTTATTATGAGAGCTGATTTAATAAAGATTAACAAAGAACTCACATAAAAGTCATTCCCATATACAAGTAGTTCAATATACTTCTTTGAAAGGTGTCATAGAAAAGTTTTTAATGAAATAAAGATCCTTAAACTCTGAAAAAATTTTAAGTGTCATTGAATCCAATTCACCCCCTCTTGGATTGAGCCATTCTTTTCTATGAAACACATCTCAAGTGACCTAGGCAAAAGTTAGGATGTTAAAGCAGCGACCTGAGCTGAAAATTGAAAGGCGGCTTAGGGGGGATCACTGAATCAGAGCACGACCCCAAGTCATCACTCCACTTTCCAAAAAGGCTAAAACACAACGATAACTTCCTTGCAGCAATTATGTTTTGTTTAATAACCCTAAACACTAAAGCCCACCTTGGCCAGCCATTCTTCTAAAAACTTTTTTTTAAAAAAATCCCTTCTAACAACCCTTTTCAAAAAATATACAAACATCCCTTCTTTCTTTTCTCTTGATTCTTATGGCATTAAAACATGTACTGAAAAAATACACAGAAAGTGCACAGTGAATACTCACAGAGGGAGGACTGAGACGTCCCTGAATGGAGTCTGGAGACGTTTGACTACACATTGACCAGATAACTAAGGAGCCATTGAAACCTCGGGTTCGAAGGAATATATCCCGGCAATAATCAAAAATAGCACGGATAGAAAGGAATTCTCTACATTAATCCTAACGTGTACAGTTTAATTTCCTGACATTAAAATTTGAATCGCATTTTTAGGAATAAACCACAAGCATAAACCGCATTTCATGCATATGTGGTAATGGCATATGGAAAACAAAAAAAATAGAAAAAGAGAGGAATAAAAAATAATAATAAAAGTTGAAAATCCATTCCTATCTTGTGTTTTCATTGCATCCATTCATCCATTCATTTTACTTGCAATCGGTCGAGAGAGGAGTCATCAGGCCAAAACACTCATAAGAAGTTCAACAGCCAAGCAAGGCTTCAAGAGCCGAAGTTGTGTCAAAAGCTTAGCCCAACAAAGGCAATCCTAAACGACTTTTCGTGCCCACCAAGCAAAGATATGTCAACAGCAGAATAGAATGGGATCAACCAAATAAGCAAGCCTACAAGCATGAAGAGGTTGTCGCACGTTACTCTTCAACTGAATGAAGGATGGTCCAATGAATGCCAAATA